AAGGAAGGTGAAATGAATTCGCCCTGATGCCCCCTTCATTTTCCCCTGTTCCCGTGAGCAGGGTTTGAAGTCTGATACAGGTTGCTAATAAAACCAGCACCTCTGGCTGCCTTGAGCGCTCCTCAGCACTGGAGAGCTCAGGCCTTCAGAACTGCGTTGTCTGGGCTTACGGAAGGCTTACACCAGAAATCTATGCTCTCTGCTAGGTAAGAGGGGCTCGGAAAGGGAAAATACAGTGCTGTTACTTTGTCGGGGGCTCTTGTGAGGAAAACACTGTGATTAAAAGCTTCTGAAGCTGAAGCTGCCCTAGACAGCACTGTTGACTGAAGCAATAGGTATGTTACTCCACGTACAAAATCTTCCTGTGGGGTTTTAGTCTTGCATCCTCATGGTGACTATTAAAATTGGCTGCATAAATGATCTGCATTTTAATACATGTGTAATTTACAGACTAATTCAGATTCATTAGAAGTTTTCAGTTTCTCCATTAGTTTGTGCAAGTGGAGTTTGTAGCAGTTTGTTCATGAGCATCTCTGCTGTTTATGACTAGCCTTCTGTAACTGGTTGCCTACATTTGGCATTATTTTTGTTTCAGTTTCTGGTCTGAATGACTTGAATATTGGCTGGTGAATAAAGAGAGTTTCTGGTATAAGTTTTCAGAGTCGTGTGTCCTAGTTAATGAAAATAATTACTTTGACAGACATTTTCACAACTCTCTGGCAGGTGTTTGAGCTCTAGAACAAACTGAACTGACTGATTTTATTCACAAAAAATTATTCATGAAGTGGTTTTGAAATCTTCTGGCTGTTGATCCTTCCTTTCCACCACAGAAGAACAGCTATTTAATTTCAGTCGAAATTAATCAGAAGTTTAGGAATTAGAGACTTCTTTGTCTCTGTTTGAACAAAGCATGCCACAGTTAGCCTGCAGGATGGTGTTTCATGGTTTTCAGATTCTTTCCCACTCTTTTGCTATTCAGCTGGTTCGTGGTCCTGCGATACCAACCAGAGTCTCAGTTTGCTCTGTCAGTGTGTGCAGGGTGCCACTCAGTGCATGTGCATGGGTGCTTTGTCATGAAGGTCAACACTTTTTAATCATGATGTGCACTTCACGTAGGTGCTGTTCCTCGCAGCACCTTTTCCATCAGGAAGGTGTCTGCCAGCCTCTAAAGAAAAGATSTTTTTGTAAAGATTTACTGCTAGCTACACAACTCTATGCTGCATCTTTTCAAAGTTTCTGTAGAGCAGCATATGGCAGCATAGTAAAATTCAGAAGGTTCAAGCTAAGCATCCCTCAATACAGCCCAAGCTTAATACAGGCCCAGGATTTCTGGGCCTAATACAGGCCCTAAACATCCCTCAATACAGGCCCAGGATTTCTAAACCTGGGGGGATGTGGCAATAGAAGGTTTTTATAATAAGTATTTTTATAGGTAAATGTGCAGCTGAAAAAAAGGAACCCTTATACAGCTAATATAAAGCGCTCTTTAAAAAGTTAAACAGATAACTGTCTTTAAACCTTAAACTCTTGTTACAAATGTAGTACTTAAAGTGAGGCCTTTTTTAGATAAGATCACCCACTAGTTAGCAGAATAGTTGTACTCTTAACATTTATGAATCTGTATAGTCCAAATAAAGATATGAAAACAAATATAAGGCATGAAAATTATAAACCACATGGCCATCTTTTCATCTTGCCAACTAGAAGCTGAGATGTTTGCATAAATTGGATTAAAACATGTAAGAAACCAAATSCAGCTCCAAGTTGTAGCTCGTCCTCTGCGTGCATCACGACTTCTCATGGAGAGTGAAATCCCTCCAGCTCAATTGCTTTTGCTCTGCTTATTTTTCTTTCCTGGCGTTGGGCATAGTGCAGCAAACATATTAGTCTGACTTAAAAATTCGACTCATTGACAAGCAGTGGAGCCGGAGCAGTTTTCTGAAACATTTAGAGACCCAGAATGTAAATAAGAGCCTAATGAGATTCACAAAAGCACCTACTTCCCATTGAAGTTGTTTAAAAATCCAGCTTGGTTGTTTCTCTTGCTTTAGGAATGTAAAAGCCTTTGGAAAAAAAAAAAATAAAAATGGTTCTAATTCACCCAGGCACTTTTGAAAATGTTACCCTAAAGCTTGATTTGTTCATATGAAAGTCAGTTCTTAGTACTGAACTGAACAGATAAATACATCAATGTTATTTTTTTGTAGATTGATTGCAAAATTGTTTGCTTGTTTTTAAATTAAATGATTAAAAACTAAACATAGTTAAAATATTTTATTTCCAAGGCATGAGCACATGAGTTTTATCGTGCTTATTTGTGAGTTAATTATACAGATGTCATTATTTGAGGAAAAAAAAACCCCAAACAGTATTTATTCTTTTGTAAAGTTGTGAAGTTAATGACAGAAAATAACCAACTGCTCTGTGAAAATGCTCCCTGGGTCTGTTACTCACAGTTAGGCTTGAGCACATAAAGCCCAATCCACATTCCTGCATCGCAGCTCTTGTCATTTCGCAGTCTCCCTTGGTCAAATAAAGTACTGGGGTGATTGAGTGTAGTTCCTCTGGAGAAGCACGGGTTGTTTTTCCCAAGGAGAAGCTGGCGTTTTGCCTGGCTCTGCCTCAACTCCCGCTCAGCCTGTGGCACGAGGAGGCCAACTGCTCAGGAGAGCAGAGGAAACTTAGGAAATAGGAGGGGGCAGGCTCGGCAGGGGTTTGCAGTGAGGTTTTTATTGTTCCTCTCSTCATCTTGGTGTGAGGAAAAGACACTGCATGTTAAGGGCTTGYTCCTGTCACCTGGAGTTTTAGCTGCAAAGGAATTCTCTGTTTGSACGTACCTGCCAATTTGTAGTTTTAGTGTTCACGGGCACAAACAGATGAAGAGTTTGATTTTTTTTTTCTTAAACTTCTKTTTTCTTGGAATTGTACAACCTTTTTGTAATTTGTATCACTGCAAAAATTTCAAATCCTTTAGCACATTAAAAAAAWTGGATAATACACATGAAACTGTGTCTGTAGTTACAAAGACTTGTAAAAATAAACTAATAGTCTATAGGGGACTTGTACATCTTGCTCTGTCCTTGCAGAATAAGCACCTTAGGAATCTTGTTTTCCTCCTTTTCTATATCCAGGTGAGTGAAAGGAAAGGAGAATTAAGGCAGAACGGCATCATGCAGGAAATTCAGGGCATGGCTCCCAGTGGTTATCCAACTGAATGCAGCAGCCTGTCCATACAGTATCCTGTTCTCCCCATCTTCTAATGGACCATCAAGTGGAAAAGGCTGCTTTCTCTGAAAACATTTCAGCTTCAGAAACGTTTTCCAGAGCTGGGAATGCATGGCAGATCAGTTTGAAAAAGAGCCTTCTGAATTCTTCCGAAGAATTTTCTTGAAGCTTGCAAAGCTTAAATCTGTGGCCTGCTGATGTCTTTTTTTAAAAGCATCAGACTGTTACTCTTCTGTGATATCCAGAGGAAAAAAAWTGCTTAAGAATTGCACTGCATTTCAAAAATTGACATTTGGAAGTACAAGTGATAGGTCTCACCTGAGTTTATGAAGCCATCTGTTGCCTCCTATACTTCCCAGTACAATAAGGTCATCGGTATCATTTCAATGTGCCTTTGTAGGTGGGTTTTTAGTCCTAATCACCAATATCACTGCATTTTTTTTCTATTCTGGTGTTCCATCTTTGATAGTTGCATTCAGCTTACCACTTTCTGCCTGTACGGTTTGTGTTTAGACTGTGGCAGTTATAATTTTAAGGCATTTCTCTCTAACATCCTAGAGTTTATGCTCTACTTTAGTTTTATTTGCTGTCTTGTGCACCCAAGGCARTGTCTCTTAGGTGGCTGTGTACATCTGCCGTTAACATTAGTGGAAGGGCTATAAATTCATTCAGAGAAAGTTGATCAGGACTCTAGGTAAGACAAGTGCCTGACCTGAAGCTGCATCTCCCCCTCTGAAAAGACCTGGTGAAAGTCTGCCTTGTGCACTGCCCAACTGCCATAGATACCCAGGGTAACACAGGTACCAAAAGGAGCAGTAGATGCTGGTTCACAAAAGGCAATTCACAGCAATCTTGAGTGCTGTCTAGGCATCCTTGCAGCATACACATCCCAAGAGGTGAGCTTAAGTAAATTTTCTCAGCATAGTTCATTGGAAGGCGCTAGGTTGCTTCTGATTTAGGATATTCTTTTGTGCTACAGAGATGACAGCCTTAGGTGGACAGTCTGCGTTCGGTTCCTGTTGTCAATGGGATGACCAAGGAACAAAGCCCTGTGCTCTGGTTTCCCTGCAGAATCCACTGGTGCTTAATTATGGTGCCTGGGTTTGGGGTGGAATCTGTTTTTGACCAAAAGCTACAATAGCCCAACAATCTAGAAGTTGAAGAGGGACGGGAATTACATGCTTGAATGGCAAAACTAACATATTACATGTTCCTGGTCAATAATAGCATAGACCAGACATATTAGTCTGTTTTAAACTGAACTGTTGGATTTGAATGCAAAGTTCAGCTATATACATAGCAGGTAAATATCCTCCCTGTCCAAATGGCTTGCAGAAGCTTTTATTCACTTCTATATAGCCTGCAAAAGAGCTGGGATACTGTGAAGCTGCAGATGATTCACAGATGCTAACATCTGTACAGGGGACTCTCTTATTAAAAGTTTGCAGGTGAAATTGCTCATTCTGATCATGTGCAGGCTTAATTCGGCTCCCACTGGGGATTCACGCTGACCACTGTGTTCAGAACCTGCCTTCTGTGTCAGCCACGTGCATTGCAGCATCAAAAAGATTCAGTGATGGGCAAAATAATTCTGTTTACATTTGTTCAAGTTTATTGTGCTGTGTGGGAAAGTCATTTGGCCAAATCTGTCTACTTCTATCCAAACTGGTGTCAGAAGAGATGAATTTGTGCTAAGGGAAGAACAAAAGACAGCACCTGGCAATAAAATAATTGGAAAATTCAGAAAATAACCAGATCTCTGATTTTTTTTTCAGAATATTGCAACACTTCCACACTTCTGCTGAAGATTACACCGTCATCTTTACTTCTGGATGCACAGCTGCACTTAAACTGGTAGCAGAAGCATTCCCTTGGATACCTGAAGGCACAAAGCAGCCCAGCAGTCGGTTTTGTTACCTGACTGACAGCCACACATCTGTTGTGGGTATGAGGGGGATAACTTCCTCAATGAATGTGTTATCTGTTCCAGTAAAACCAAAGGAAATGTTGTTATCAGAGAAAAACACGTTACCACCTGAAGAACAAAACTGCACGACGCCTCATCTTTTCTCTTATCCAGCTCAGAGCAATTTTTCTGGTACCAAATATCCCCTTTCATGGATACACGACATAAAATCCGGAAAACTCTGCCCTACTGAAATACCAGGGAAGTGGTTTGTTCTGCTGGATGCAGCTTCCTATGTAAGCACTTCTCCGCTAGACTTAGGAGTTCACCAAGCTGACTTCATCCCCATCTCCTTCTATAAAATCTTTGGATTCCCTACTGGTTTAGGAGCGCTACTGGTAAGCAACCGGATCGCCCCCTTCTTGAGGAAAAGCTACTTTGGAGGTGGAACTGCAGCTGCCTACCTTGCAGGAGAGGATTTTTACTTCCCCCAAAAATCYATAGCTGAAAGGTAAGTCTTTGTTTAACCGACCAGGTCGGGGGATTGCTGGTACTGTTTCCTGGAGACAATTGGCTTTGCTTTGGAGCATGCAGGGGGCTGTGACACGTATGCCTGTTTATGTAGTTGGTGAGATATTTCATATTTGCTTTCTTCGTAATATTTTCTTTGTCTTCTRAACGATCCTGCTTCCATGCCTCATCTAGTTTGTCACAACTGATAAAAATATAAGGGTTCCCAGTGACATGAAGGTYGGTCTCTGTGTTTTATATTTCCATTTAAGGTGCGTCCCTGGAACTCGTTTGTTTTTGAATCTCTGCATGAGGAGCAGTTAGGCCAGGGCTTATTACACACTGGAATGAGCCTTAGTGAAAGTGGAAAGTAAGGTCTGGGTGTTCTTCTGGAAAGGTGGCTCCCTTTGCCCTCAACAGGAGCTGYGTCCCAAGAATGCACCCAGGAAGATAAATTACACAGGACAAACATTGGTAGCGAAGCCGTCCAGCAGAGGATAGAGGCTRCCTGAAAGAGGTCTCACAGTGCATAAGGAAATGCAGGGCCATGAATAAGTTTTCCCATTGCCTTGATATATTGGACTGTCACTCTTAATAGTGCTTGGTCACTCTTTCCCCCTCATGCCAGCAGCAGTTTATGTAAAGGCACTCAGGGACCTTTGTTCCTGTCTCACATGCAGCACATGTGCACAGTGGGGCAAACCTAAGGTCAGCATTTGCCACTAAGCAATAGACCCGGGGGTGACTGGAGGTGACAACTAAATAAAGTTGGTCAAGCCTTGTGCTTGTTTATGGATGTAACTAGCACAGTGGATGTATGTTGAGCAGCACAGAGGCCTGGCTCTCCTGTGCTCTTTGTGTCTGTCCTTTCACTGTATGGTAGGATGCATGGAGATGCTTTGTGTGTGTGTGTGCCTCTTGTAGCTTTATGTTCCTAGTGCTGCTGCATGGCCTGGGCTCTGGACTGGTAAATGCAGTGGGGCCACAGCCTGGCTGCCTTGTTGGAGAAGGATGTGCAGGGTTGCTGACTCGGAAATCTGTTYGGGGACCCTCCAGTTAATCTTTTCATTTAAAAATAAAACCATCCTCAAAACATTCCTGAACTCTGTTTCTGGCTTCTCAAACYAATGAGGTTTTGAAGTGGACCAAGACCCTCACTGCAAGTCAGGATKAAAGGGCACAGAAATGACAGGGTCCTAGAGTGTCCTCATGTCACCTGCAAGCCGAGGAGCAAACCTTGGTCTCTTGGCTCCAACTTTTGAGGAGCACTTCTGGAAGTAACTGATACACAACTCCCGCGCTTGTAGATAGCAGATAAAAACACCTGAAATACGTATTACATCTCAACATCAACTCTTTCAAAGGTTGACCAGTTACAAGTCCCTCAGGCATGTGAGGCTTCCACTGCTTTCCACACAGGATGAGAAGAGGGCCCTGCTTTCACTTATTTCCACTACACACTTATAATGAGGGGAATTTGATTGGATTCCTCAGGCTAGGTGCAGGACACCTGATCTCAGTGTTGGGGCACAAAACTGCAGTAGCCAAGTCTCACAGCTGGATGTGGGGCTGGCTCCTGTTACACACCMAAGTGTCACACACAGTTTGATTCTTGCATATGGATAAATATTTACATTTGTCTTCAAATCCTGGGGTGATTATTTGAAAGTCTAATATTTAAAAGTTCATCTTTAGAACATTGCTGATGCTGTGTGTAATTCCTAATAATTCTTGGAGGCTAGAAATCCTGCTCAGAAAGGCTTGAAGTTTTCAAAGGTAGGTCAAGCATGAGGATCATTTCTTCCTTCATCATACAGGTTTTGTGGGTTTTTTTTTTTCCCTACTTTTTTTCATTTGTTTTGCTTTTTTTCCCTTTCAGAGGTTAGGAATTTTTGCTTTGCTTTAAGGTGTCCCCTTTCAGAGGTTATGGGTTTTTGCTGTGTTTTAAGGTGTCCTCCTGACAAAGTGACTAGAAACAGAACTACTGCATGTCAGATGAGATACCGGCTCATCACATTCTCATGTCAGCAGTAGCTCTAGCCAGGTTTTATCCCTGCCAAAYGGCAGTGCGGGGCCTCCAATCTTGGAGGTGTCCAGACCCACCAGGACAAGGCCACCTGCCCCAGCTTGGCCTGCTTGGATAAGGGGTTGGGGAGGCGACCTCCCGGGGTCCCTTCCAACCTCCGTGCTTCTGTGTCATTCCAAAGGGTTGGCTGCTTAAGAGCCTTCAAGCAAACTGGCTTTGCATTAACATGGGGAGCAGAGCGAGGTGTTTTGTTCTGTGTGGTAGCTCATGAGGAAACTGAAGCTCTTGGAGCCAAGTGCCATTGGGAAGCAGGGTTGGAATACGGGCAGGCCTGGAGCCCGTGGCAGGAGCGCTCCGTGTGCGCGCAGAGAGAGCGCGGCGTGCCTGGGAAACGCCTCCCTCTGAGGCAAGGTGAGCCTCGAGGGGAGCTGTGAACGAGGTGCCTTATTCCTTTTTCCTTCACCGGACTGTCCAAGCTGTTACCTTTCCTCTTAATGGATGCASCTTTTGTTGGTGTGCCTTGTACTATATCTTGTTTTTGCTATAGAAATTACACTATCGCAGACTCTTTTAAATTCCTTTACTACGTTAAATCACTTCCAAATTTTCCCATTTCATGGCAGTAGCCAGTCTTCCTATTGCTATATTTTCATCCTTGTATCAAGCAGCTTGACAAATTATTATTATCATTCACAAATCTAGCCTCATTTCCCTTGTTTTTTTTTTCTGCGCAGCATGAGATAATAAACTAATATAATTATATATAGTGAGAATGCAGCAATAAAATATTAATCATCTGCCCTATTTTTCTTATGTGGCAGTGCAATTCAGAATCTGATCAGTCTGGAACTTATGACTAAGGGAAAAGAAGCCATTATTGGTAAATTGGAAATCCGCACTTTAATCTGTGATTCTGCAGTAGGCAGCTTGGTGCCTGATTCTTTGTTTTTACTGTCCGAAAGTATTTTCGAAGACTTTAAAAATCTAGATAGCGTGACTTTGTCCCTGCCTGGTTTTAGCGGTTCTTGCCTCTCTTGCTTGAATGATTTGACTGCCCCAAAGCCATGCCCAGACAAAATCCTTAGGCTGGGTGACGGTTCCAGGATCCCTTGGACAAAAAGCTGGTCTTTCTGACTGAAGTTTTCTCTTCAGCTTTACTGTGAGCTTTGTCAGCACAGCAGGAAGGAATTAGAGGACCCAGACGGTGGCAGGTGCTGGTTAATTCCTCAGAAACGCTTCGTAGTGATGCTGAGAAATCACCCAAGAGCCGGGCTGCCCGCAGGAGTGCAGCCCTGTGCACATGCCTGTGTTGAGGTCTCACATCTGGCCACCAAGCTGGGTGTTAMGGGCGAGCCAAGTCATAGTTGCAGAGCCAAGTCTGCGGTTGCTTCAGTGTACCAAGTGGGGTGAAATGTCAGCTCCTGACTAATACTTTTTGTTCAAAGTGTTTTGTTAATAGGCCACCTTCCACTGCTTTGTGGTGTTTGAAATGTAAAGATATCCAAACAGGACCCCTTGCAGGGGTGGTTTCCAAGTCAGCAAAGTTCTTGAACATACTTTTAGGCAGACGTGCTAAGGTTTGGATGATACTCTTGGTAAGTGGTAGGGACCTTCATTTAATCCAACTGGCATTTACATCATGAGACCACTTCTCCACTTGACAAACTTAAGCCGTTGACGGAGGCTTCAGGTCAGAGCAGCAGCTCGTCTCACCTCCCTCTCTTCCCCTCCATTCACTCTGTCCCATGGACATGACAGGTTTTAAGCATCTGAGTGATGTTCGAGTGCAGCCGTGTAGCAGACGCACACAGCTTCTGTCCCTGCTTGAAGGACAGGTAAAGCACTCTGCTTTCCAAAGCTATCATTCAGTTAATTTTGACACCTACCACATTCACTTTAAGACAAAAAATCTGAAGAAAACAAAAAAACAAAAAAAAAAAAAAAAAGGAAAAGGGGATTAGTGTTTTCTGAGTAAACGTAACAAGGTTCAAGTGACCTATTGAACTTTCTCTTCTCAGCATGAATATTTATAGCTATTTATGCTTCCTGCAGCATAAATAGCTGCAGGAAGATTTTATACAGTCTGTTTTTTTTTATCTTAGAAAATCCATGGTGGCAGTTGACCTGTTGTGTACTTTTCTACCAGATCTCACTACAGCTAGCTAGCTTTTGGGGCATTTGATACAGAGAAAGAAATCAATTTGTTTTTAAATCCCACCATAGCTGTGGGTGAGTTTTCAGGTGGTAGCATGCGTTTTAATACTCAAAGTTGTTATTATGTGCAATAATGAAATTGTTTTATTGCCTGAACACTCAGCATAGTCAGAATGAACTGTCCATTGAAACCATACAACAGTGAGATGAATTTAATCCTCCGGGCATTGTTTTTAATCTTGATTCCCCATGGGATTCATCCTAAATTGCTAAATCTGAGATAAGCTGCAAGGAAGGCTTTACAAAAATGCCTGTAGAGTGCCGTTACAGACAGGCAGCCCCCGGCATATGAAGCGGCCTGTAGCTATGACAGCAGCAGACATTTTGGGAAGACTGGATCCACTTCTGCCCTGCTTCCGAGGGGCACACTCCCAAGCTGTGCAGAGTCCCCAGGCACAGGAGGCAGGTCCCTGGAGGACACGCAGGGCTCGGAGCTGCCGATCTGAGGGAAAAGCAGAGAAGTAAGCTTTTTAGGCCTTGTAAGCTTTTTAGTAGTATTCAGCAAACTGAAGTTAATAAAAGCCATAAATTCAAAGCGCATTTAAATTTTTGAAGTGTACAGTGGATTCTCTTACTTGGAAATAASTGGAACAAAATTAAGTACATTTTTTCTTTAGGTGCCAAAGTCTCATTGAAAGCCAGCCAGTGGCAATCATGTGCCTAACGTACTGTTTCTGTAAAGCACATCAAGCATCAATCTGTATCATTAAATATCTCCATTTCAGCAAAAGACTGGCACCAAATTAATGAGCTATAAAATA